GGGGGGGGGGGTTTTGCTGTGAAAGGGGAGTTCGACAAATCTATCAATTATATATTATAGGAAAAATGGGTCATGTGACGAAGCAGACTTACCTTGGCTTTTAACCACTTAGTGTGGGCAAAGGGAGAAAAAAAACAAAAAACAGAGAGACAGAGAGAGGGCATGTCAAAATGGCCATGTCTGAACGGATCAGCAGAAGTCAAAGTACAAGTGAGCAGGAGAAAAATGACTCCCTGGTTTTATTTACACTGAGTAAACATTTAGTAAGACCTGGGCAGGTTCAGCAGCGATACAACCAGAGCAGTGGCTCCTCCTCCTGACTGTTGCTCTCGTCCCTCAGACCTACAGAACCACACCCAGCGCCACAGTCAGAGTGGAAGGAAATCTCAGCGATCTGATGCTTCGCGGCTATTGTGCACAAGTGAAACCGGTTTTATGTCAACAGGGTCTCTGAGACTGCCTGTCATTAGGAGCTTTACCTTTGTAGATCAAACACAGCTGTCTCTCAAATAAGCCTACAGAGCACATTTCTGTTCATTTGAGTCTTTTTTTTTTTTTTTAGGTACATTTTCATGGTTTCAAATGATCTCACTCCTGGCAGCGATAAATAAGCACCCTGGTATTTGTGTGGGCTGATGTCAAAGAGAATACAGAGCCAACGAAGCAGTGGGGTTGATCTGCAGTTTGACAACTGCAGAGTCAAGTGGCTCATCTATAATGCAGCGTCCCCAGTGGCCTTTGCAGAAAGCATCGTAGCATCACAAGACCATGAGAGAGAAACACAGAGAGAGAGAGAGAGAGAGAATGAAACCAAAAGCAAAATTCACAGCGTGGGTCAGTGTGAAGTGATCTCTGCCCCTTTAAAAAAACAACAAAAAAACAAAAAAAACAGAAAAACACCTTCAAGTGCAGCTGCGAATGGGAAATTTCATGTTCAAATTTCACTCTCCACGGGTTATCAGAGCTGGGCGAGATTCAATTTACAATCTAGGTCAAACTGGAAGTGCCAAGTCCTACTACAGCCGCCGCTTATCTTCCTGGCAACGGCTGTATCTCTGCCCTTGCTCCACAAACCCGAGCGGCAGCGTGGAAATGCTTTAGTAACGTCCGAGCTGAATCACACAGACAGACAGACAGGTCATTATCAAGTCCAAAAAAAGGCTTAGCATGTGGAGCCGGGGTGAAAATCCAGAGCGCTGCAGTCTGACAGAGCTGGGTGAGTCTGTCGGGTTAAAGGAGACAAACACTTCCTGAGGTCTGGGTGGTCATCAAGGACACATCCCCTCCCAAAACAATCTGACGAACACACAGTGACTAGCTGTTCTGACCGGTGTGACACACGTGTGTAATTATTCTGTGTTTAAAATCTTCAAGAAACTCAAAACCAGGAATTTCAAACGCGTAAATTGACTCGGTGACGTCACCGTCAGCTCCTTGATAATGTGACTGACAGGTTCATTAATTAGCTGGTTAGAATTAAAATTATAATCCTGAAGATTTTTAATGCAATCAGACCCCGTTTTTGATACTATTTATGGTCGGATTTTGGCGTTTTCTTTTCCCAGAAATAGCCATTAAATCTACTGATTGAATGAAATTGTTATATCTGCCTCATTTCTTACCCTTCACTCTCGTTTCACTGTATCAGAACAAACCAAACACTGCTTTATTGCTGCAGTATTATAACACACTTGTTGTTATCATCAATAACCATGTGTCCCCCAAATCAACCACATGAAGTCTTCAGGATTATAATTTAAAGAAAAACTCTTGCTGACCTCCAAACATCATACACAAAATATNAGCCTCATTTCTTACCCTTCACTCTCGTTTCACTCTATCAGAACAAACCAAACACTCTTTATTGCTGCAGTATTATAACACACTTGATGTTATCATCAGTAACCATGTGTCCCCCAAATCAACCACGTGAAGTCTTCAGGATTATAATTTAAAGAAAAACTCTTGCTGACCTCCAAACATCATACACAAAATATAGAAAACTGGTCATTACTTCGTTGAATCAAGTAAGAAAAATATCAAAATTGCCCCAAAAAAACAAAACTATTCCTTTAAATAAATCTTAGAAACTCATGACTGACAGAAGGCAAAATATCCAGGGATTGCTATCTAACTTCAAACACCTGACATCATCGTCCCTGGATTCCTGAAAGCCCCGCTGACTAGATTAAGCATCAGCTGACTGGAGGAATAAATCTCATCTTTCGCATTAATGCTAAAAAGCATCATGTCACTGTCAGAGCGCCTTGAGAGGAGGGAACACCCTGATCTGTCGGCTGTGTGAGATTCCAGATGTGGCCCGGCTGATTTATTGATATAACGCTGCAGCGTTCAGAGAGGAATCAGATTATCTACTGGATGAATTCCACCTTCTCTTTTCTCTCAGTTCCTCTTCTTCTCTCTCTCTGTCAGATCTGAGAACGACTTCTATTCAATAATGCATATGAGGGCTACATGATGTTTCTTCTCTCTATTACAGCTTGGTGTTTAACTATACAAACACAGTGTGAGGCTATAAAACCAATTCAGGCCGACGCAAACAGGCAGCGACTTTCACAGTTAACTGGAGCCAATACACATGATTTAAACTCTCATTAATGTATTGATTCTGGTCAGTAAGTACACCGTGGCTATAGGTATTCTATACAAGCCGCGCATCTGACAGGAGCCATCACAGGATACTATATGATTACTATGGGGTATTGATGTTAAATATTGATTGGCTCTGTGACATGCATAGGAGAGAGGAGGATGAGTGATGTAGGGCTGCTGCAGGAGTGTGTGTGTGTGTGTGTGTGTGTTTCCCAATACATTCACTAACTAAATGCAGCATGTCTAAAGACAGTTAAAAAGGGAGAAAATCCACTGAGATTAGGCCCAGAGTGATACCTCATGTTCTTAAAATAGATGCATCAAACAGTCTCAGAACAGCCATGAAGCACGGTGATTTTCAGCAGCCGCATTCTGCTATCCTAATTTTCTGAGCAACTCTTACGCAGGAGTCAGGACCTCGTTGTGATTTTGTTTTATATAATATTATTAAATCCTTGACCTTGGAAACAACATTTTGCAAAAACAATTCTCACCTCAGAGTCCATTCAGCAGTTTTGTAATAGCACATGATCTTCAACGCCACGTGTAGTTTGCCCTGTTGTCATGTTGATAAAATCCTTTTAGTGCTCAGAGAAAAACTACAAGTCTACTCGACCTGCAGATGAAGATAAGGCGATATGATCGATAGCTCCAGAACAGCTACTAAATGAACCTTGAGGTGAGATTGTTTTGCCAACAACATAATCTGTTGATTTAATTAACACTTCCATCTATGTATGAAATTAACTTTTTCACAGTTCAGAACTTCTGCTTTGTTGCTTTCCGCAAACAGCAAAATTACAATAGTTTAATAAATCTCCAAAAATATACTATAAATATATATATATATATATATATATATGCAACATAATTACACAGAAATCCTGTATTGAAATGTTGAGAGTTAGATATCTGTGCATTAACTGTGGAGCTAGAGCCATGAGACTGTTATCTTAGCCTAGCATAAACACCTGAAGGGTAAACAGCTAACGGCTTCTTAAATCTGCCTACAACCACCTCTACAGCTCATTATTAATGCTACTCATTTTTGCTTTTATGGTTAGCTTCATGCTTTAACTATTTTTCAGCACATAAAATAACTTAATTTATTGATTATTCATCTTTAGAGGTGCTGTAATGTTTCCCTCTACTACTTCCTAGTCCTTAAGCTAGGCTAAGCTAACAGCCTCCAATTTTTTTATTTTTTTTTTTTTACCATAGAAACATGAGAGCAGTTTTCTCATCTCTGGCACATTTGTGAAAATGTTGAACTCTTGATTTAATGAGGATTGATTATTGCATCTAATAAAACAAGGTCCTTGTAAAAGTTTCAAGTACATAATTGTTCATGCTAATACGTGCCAGCCTGCTCTCTTTGGTGGGAAACGCACCCACTTAAAATGCTTCACTCCACATTAGCCATCGCACACTTTCACCATGACAGAAGGGTCCAGTATAATTCCCTACACAATAAATTGAGAGTGGCACAATGGCTTTTATCCTGCCTTATCAATGCCTCTAACACTATGTGATGGTAATGGCGGGCCTCTAATCCAATCTGTCTGACAGCTGCAATTGATTGGCTGATTGATGGGGCAGAGAGAGAGAGAGAGAGAGAGGATGGAGATCGCCAAAAATGCTTGCGGCCGTCTGGAAATGATGTCATTACCACCACTGTCGGGACGACCCAGCGACCCCTGAAGCGAGCCCTAATGGCGGGGAGGAAGGGAAACTGTCGCCCCTCAGTTCATCTGAGTATATCAGATCATAATCAGCTTCTTTACCGCCCTTCAGATTGTGTACTGATGTGAAAATAAACTACAAATCAAATTGTACCAACATCATTCCTCTGCAAAGGTTTGGAGAAACTCAATGAGGAGATTACGAGAGCGGACGGGGCCTAAGTGCCTTTAAAAACGTCTCGCAAATTTCCCTGCACTCGCCATTTTCACGACACTCTAAGAATAGAGCCGTTTTTCTGAAAGCTACATGATGTAATCGCTTTTTTAGTTCATCTCAACCCCCAACCCGTTCCCACCAACCCACGCTCAAACATATTCCTGTAGGGTCAGAGGAAGGGAGGGGGGGGGGGGGGCTTTCTGAAGATGAAAGAGAAAGCACAAGAGATGGAGTATGAGCGAGTAAGCGAGTCAAAGTGGGAGAGAAAAGAGAAGGAGGGAGATAGGAGTACCTCTGGCAAGAAAGAAAAGGAGGGTGGAGGGGGAGGGAAGTAAATTAGATGTAGAGGAAGAAGAAAGTGGAAGAACTGATGGACCGAGCGGAGACCAGAGAACAGATCTGAAAACAGGCAAAAATCAGGAGGAATCTGCTCACCTTCACGCCGTGGCCGACGTCGTCCAGTACAGTGTAGTCAATTGGCTTCCTGATGTACCTTACCGGCCGCTCCATATTAGCCGGCGCTATGATCTTATGGGTCCTCGCCGTGTTCTTGTTGGTGGTCAGGATCCCGATCTCCCGCCGGGCCACCTTCTCTTTATGGATGTCCACCGTCTGTAAGTGACACAGTGAAGACAGAGGAAGGAGGGTGTGATTGAGGTGGTGGGACCCTCTGGGACTGAATGAACTCGTCATACAGCAGCTTAAGAAGGTTTAATTGAATCATGGAGGTTGTGCTTTTCATCACCGGGGTCTTAATCTTTTTACAACCTCCAGTGCGCACTAATAAAATCGATTGCTGCACAAACCAGATCCTGGACGGAATAATGACTGAGGCATGTTTATCTGCACATTAATGAAATCAAAAACTTAATCGGTTGGAAAGAGTTTACTGCCCCCGAAGTCCCTAAATGCAACAAGTCGATCCAGATAATTATTAACGGAAAAATATACACAACCATGAGAACATACTGTAAGATAGAGAGCTGAGAACCTTATTTCAGAAGGATAAAATGAAGTCGACTGTGTACATACTCTCACTGATTTTTATTATCAGAAAACTTCCTTTTCTTTCTTTCTTTTGTAAAAACGCAAGGGACAAATCCTGATGCATTATTTATGCTTCTGGAGACCAAGAGAAATTTTTCTACTGAAATTGCACCAATGTTCAGTTAATTACCCGGCCTTCTCTAAAAAGATAAAATTCTAATTACTTTAAAGCTCTTCAGGAAACTTTGCACACAGTTGACAAATATAACTTATTCCCCAGCTGAACTCAGACATCCTATAACTCTTATTTTGATCAAGCGAATGCTGGATGCCTGCAGCCAAAAGAGGAATCATAGCACAAGTTAATCAATGGATTTAAAGTTTCTCCTTTTGAGGATGTTTCTGGCTCAAGATGAGACTTTTTTTTTTCCACAAAATGTTGTGAAATGCAACTTTAACCATCCGAATATATGTCTGACTCAGCAAAGCTTTTAAATAAAAATCAACAGCCACAGGGAATGCCTTTAAATAGTCAATTTATTTCATTCCCAGATCATCCAAGGGCTGCAACTAACTGTAGCCTGACCTGTATTATATATAAGTAATTGAAAGTTTAAACAGATCTGACATGTTGGTTGTAATTTTTCTTTAGACGCAAATGAGCCTTGAATGAATCTTGATAAGGATCCCTTAGACGAGTGTGTGACCAGGCTACACAGTGAGAGCAGGACATTTTTACAGCTGACAATAAGCCACCGTTCTGTACTGGCTGACATATACACCATGTTTGATAAGCGGCTGAAATGATTAAATCAATATATAACAAAAAAACAAAACAAAACAGTTGACGGTTAATTTTCTGCTACTCTAGAGCCGTGACGGTCGATCCATATCGACCATCGCGTACGAATCTTTCCTGCAGACCGCTGCATTTACATCCCCTGCTCCCACCCTGAGGAGAAGCCCAGGAGCAGCTGCCCTTCCTCTGAGAAGATGAAAGGCCGCAATGTCTGCTGAGGGGCCGACCAGTAAAACGCCGGTCTCTCACATGGGGGTGGGGTTGGATTGCGGGGAGTCAGCGACCAGCGCCAACAGAGGATTCCTTTCATGCCACGGGGATCTGGAGCCGGACTGAGCTCTGTCTCTTTATGCTGCACTGTTCCACTGTATGTGCCGACTTAGCCCTCAAGTGTCACTCATCCCGGAGCCGGGCCGGGGGGGGATGAACAGCACTCTTTCGCTGCGGCTTACATGTGGTCAAGTACGGTGCAGTCAAGCTCTGGACAATATCAAGTCTATAAGGCCCGAGAGCACTCCAGGGCGTCTATAAGGAACGACGCGAAGCAGATTCTTACACAGGACACACGAAGGGTGTAAGAGGGTGGATTGTTCAAAATTACATTAAAAGGTAAGAAAAAAAAAAAAAAAGAGAAGAGAAATCAATATTTCATAACAGGCAAAGTTGCTCATACATAATTGCTCCCACAGAGACCTCCCCATACAAAAGGGAAACATCCGTTCTGTTCCAATGCCCCCGTCGTGTCTGTTTGAATTAAGAGGGATGACAGAGCGTTGACTACAGTCATCTTTTTTAACCTGAGCTGGGCTGCCAGAGCACGAGAGGCTTTAAATACTAAAAAGAAATAAAAAAAAAAGAAAAGAAAAAACACACAACTTGCAGTGACGAAGTCTTCCCAGTGAGGCGAGCACACTATCGCATTTTTAGCAGCACTTCAAATTCAAACAGTGTGTAAAGAGCTCCAACTAGGATTGGGGTTTTCACTCCACAGCTCAGAGGATAATGCTCAAGTTTCAAACTGTCATAAATCGTGATCATCTGGGAACAGCTGGGCTAAAATCTAATCAGTCTATTTGGCCTCCATTTGCAGGGCAGTGATGGCGTCCAATGATTGGCTATGAGAGAGGATTCAAAGGGGAGACAGGAATAGCTCTATCATTCCAGGTCTGGTTTTTCTTCTGAAAACAAAGCTTTGACCCTCATGACGACTTCTCTGGCTGGGATAAAGATCATTGTCAAGGCATCGGCATGTGAGCATTGTTTTAAAAATATTATGAGGAAGCGGGTGAAAGAGGAGGAGAAGTTTCACTACAAACCACCGGCAGAAACGAGAGAACTGCTGCTGAACCGTGGTAGCTAAACTGGGAAAAAAGCATCTGGCCTCGGCTGAACTTTTATCAGAGAACAGCATGTGGACAAACATCATTGCAGCTGGCAGAGGGTGGAAGTGAGACGGCGTTGTGGTCGTGTGAGCTCATCTCCTTCCTCTATGCCAAGAAGACGGCCCCTGTTGTAACAGCGCGGGCCCGTGTTATAGACAAGTGGGGGGTACAAACTTCCAACCAACGAGCGGTCGCATCCCAGAGAGCCTTAAATACACTCTGACTTGACCCCTGTTTGACCGACCACATAAAGCAATCTTAGCAATGGCTACTACTTAATACCCCGTCTTTTCTGCTTCTACTGACTTTTAAACTGGCACCAAAAGGTGTTTCCGAACGCATCTTGCTGAACTGAAAGGTGGACGATTCACATGTGTTTTTACTCGCTGTCACCCATATGTTTGAGGTCTGCAGCAGTTTTCCCCCAGCAGTTTTGGCTCCGCTGTTTGGCTTCCCCATCAGCTACAGGCTTTTAGGATTTACAGGGCCTCCTCTTCTTGCTGCCTTTCTCCGTGTTTGAACTCCAGTCCGCCTCCGTTTATCCTCAACTATTCCCCTCTTACTCAACTCTTCTTTTGCATCCTTTTAGATCTGTGTTTTCTGTATCCCTTCCAATTCCACCCTAATTCTCCCCACACCCACAGAAGAGTCACGCACCTATACGACTAGACTCAGGATCTAGGTCATACATTGGAAAAGCTGCCAACACCATCGTCGTCATTCACACGTTGTAGCCAGACAGAAAGGAGCAAAAAGTCCAGTCACAGAGATCTGGAGAGAACTTCTTCCCATTTTGGTGAACGGGGGTGAGTCAGCGCAGCGGTTGCCACGATGAGAGCTTTCTTGTTGTGTTGTTAGTAGCAACAAGTGCCTAAATATTTGTGATTTATTTATTTCCCTTTTTAATCCAGATTGTTGCCATTTTGGTTAAAGCTGCACTTTAAAAAACTGTTTGAACTACAACACCCAGGAATCCAGAGAAGTGAGATCATGTTACTCGGCAAAACACTGACATGTTTACCACCAGAGAGGTGATGTGATGTCAAAGTCCAGCTTCTCTGGACAGAGTCGCTGCTGATCAGGGGACAGTCTGTGGATGCATTTGGTCTCAGGTTTCTATCTGTTATTTGCCTGTCCGAGGTGCCACATTAAGGATGCTGTAATAATAGTAGTAGTAGTAGTAATAATTTCTCTAATTGACAAGATTATTGTGGTATTTATGACTCTGTTTATGTTTTTTTTTTACATGATTTTTGCCAAATACAAGATGTTTCTGACTGATTATTTTAACAATCCCTTCATTGATTTTCCAGGAAAACCTACTATAATCGAGACAACTCAAATATGAAGGAGACTTCAAGGGAAACGCCTTTTTTGTAAAATGTGTTATATTCTTAACCATTTGGGACTGAGAAAAGTCCTCAAGTGTGCTAATTAACGATGACTCTTCCTCCATTGTGTATTGTGTGTGTGTGTGTGTGTGTGTGTGTGTGTGTGTGTGTGTGTGTGTGTGTGTTTGGTATATGCCTCATGCTCTGACAAAAGTCTGTTTGACTGAAAGCTTAGACAATAAATCAGGTGTTAGCGCATGTGTTTTGATTTCTTTCACTGATGTCATTTTTTTCAGCATCCTTTAAGACTCACAGCAGAGCTGAGATTCCTTCTGCAGTGATTCTCTCTCTCTCTCTCTCTCTCATACTGATTTACACCTTTTGACCTTTTGACCACCAAAATCCAAAATCAGTTCATCCTCGAGTCCGAATGAATGTTTCAGGCAAATTTGAAGCTCGAGGCGTCACAGAGATATTTTTACGTTCACAAGCGACATGTGATGTGACGGACAGCCCGTTTAACTTAATGCCTCCGGCTCTGGCTGTCGCCGGCGCGGAGGAATAAAGAACACGTCTGTAGACTTTGACATGATATGGAGACAGCCAGTTTCACTTCAGCACATGCTGGAGAGAAAAGAAGGAAAAAAAAAACAGCCCTTTCAGCACTCTGGCAGGCTGGATGATATCCTCAATAAAATGCCAGCTACGCACAAACAAACACAAAAGCTGCACAGCATGTAGGGTACAGGCGTAGTAAGGGTTGAACTGGGTGCTGCTTACACACACACACACACACACAAGATGAGGGGGAAGAAAAAAAACAACGTATTACTAGACAAACACACCCTACATACCAGTGTGTCTATGTGCATGTGTGGCAAGCCAGACCAGACAAATGTGCCAATGCTTAATGATAGAGCTCGACTGTGGATGATTATAAGACTTAAAACAAAAATGTTTCAACGAACTGGCAGCGATACGTCTTCATCGAGCCCCTCTTGAGATGCCACACACACACACACACACTGAAAACTACTCATTTCACATGGTACGCTGTCCAGGAACATAAAGGACGGGGAACTATTTTTACTCTCGTGTAGTATCACAAACCAG